GATGTGAAATGGTAATGTATTAACGTTTGTTAATGTTTTTGCATGTCTATGATAGTAAATATTACTAAAATTTGTTAAATACAACTTGTATTCGTCTTGGAAATTGTTAAAATGCTTACTAAGTCCCAGGATTTTATAAAGTAATAGATTTACTTTGTGTTTTGTATCTTATTTGTAATCAATACTAATTTCTAATTTAAACCAAACGATTTTTACTTAGTTTTTTGTTTAAAAACTTTCTTGCAGTTTCATTCTCATAACTCTTTATCTGGTTAAAATATTAATATTCTTTTCTTAAGTAAATAAATTTGAATAAAATTTGCAAATAAATTGCATAATAACAATTTATATAGAATTATACATATAGAATCTTTTTTTAGTAGAAAAAAAGATTGTTATCAAGTTATTTGTTGAAACGTTTAAACACTTTTGCAATTTTATTCTAATATCTTTTTATCTGGTTAAAATGTTAATATTATTTGTTTAACCAAATAAATCTAAATAAAATTTGCAATAAAATTGTATAATTTGAATTTGTATAAAATATTGTGCTATTAATTTAATTTAAAGATTTCATTGGCAAATTCTTTATGGAAGTGTTGAAACACTTTTTCAGTTTTATTTAAATAACTTTTTATTTGGTTAAAATAGAATATTCTTCTCTCAACCAAATAAATTTAATTAACCCTAAATTGTAATTAACCAGGATTTTTTTCAAAACCAAGTAAAGTATTAATTTTACTTTGCATTTTATAATTTAAAATCCAATAATTAATTTAGCCGAATAAACGATTTTTAGTCAGTTTTTTGTTTAAACATTTTTGCAGAAAAGTGTGGAACATTCTATCAATTTTATTCTAATAACTTTTTATCTGATTAAAATAGAAAATTCTTTCCTTTTACCAAATGATTCCTGATAAAATTTTCAATAAAAATGCATAATTACAATGTATATAAAATTATGCATATTTAGTAGAAAAAAATATTTTTATCAAGTTATTTGTTAAAAAGTTTAAACATTCTTGCAGTTTTATTGTAACATTTTTTTTCTAATCAAAATAGAATATTCTTTCTTTTTTCCAAATAAATTTTGATAAAATTTGCAAAAAAAACTGTATAATTTAGAATTTTAATAGAATGTCACACTAATAATTTATTACAAGACTTTTATCAAGTTCTTTTGTTTAAATGTTTAAATACTTTTGCAGCTTTTTTTATTCTAATATCTTTGTATCCGAATTCTTTTAATAAACCAATAATTTTTTTATAACCAAAGTAATAATTTTACTTTTTAAAATGCGTTTTTTGTTTAAACATTCTTACAGTTTTATTCTCATAACTTTTTATCTGGTTAAACTAGAATATTCATTTTTTTAAACAAAAAATCTTAATAAAATTTGTAATAAAACTGCATAGTTCACATTTTTCTAGAATGTTGCATTCAAAATCTTTTTCTTTAGTGGAAAAAAATATTTTCTTTTATCAAGTTCTTTGTTAAAATGTTCAAACTCTTTTGCAGTTTTATTCTAATAACTTAATCTGATTAAAATATTAATATTCTTTTATTAACTAAATAATAAATCTTGATAAAATTTGCAATAAAACTGCATAATTACAATGTATATAAAATTATGTATATTTAGTAGAAAAAAAGATTTTTATCAAGTTCTGATTTTTTTTATCAAGAATGTTTAAATGTTCTACCTAAAATCTAATTATACAGTTTTATTATAAATTTTATTCAGATTTTTTTGTTTAAAAAAAATGAATATTCTAGTTTAATCAGATAAAAAAATATTAGAATAAATTTGAAAAATGTTTTTAAACATTTTCACAAAAAGTATTTGCCAAGAAAATTTTTAAAATAAATTATTAGTGAAACATTATAAAAAAAATCTAATTATACAGTTTTATTGCGAATTTTATTAAGAATTATTTAGTTAAAAAAAAGAATATTCTATTTCAACCAGATAAAAAGTTATTTGAATAAAACTGATAGAACGTTTCACACTAAAGAATCTATGTGTATACTTTTATAAAAATTCTGATTTTACAGTTTTATTGCAAATTTTATTAAGAATTATTTAGTTAAAAAAAAGAATATTCTATTTCAACCAGATAAAAAGTTATTTAAATAAAACTGATAGAACGTTTCACACTAAAGAATCTATGTGTATACTTTTATAAAAATTCTGATTTTACAGTTTTATTGCAAATTTTATCAATAATAATTTGGAAAAAAGAAACAATATTCTATTTTAATTTGTAAAAAGATATTAGAATGGAACTGCAAAAATGTTTAAACAAAAAACTGACTAAAAATAATTTAAGGGGTTAAATGAATTATTGGTTTTTAAATTACAAAAGGCATTTTGCAAAGTAGAATTATTATTTTACTTCGTTTAAAAAAATCCTGTTTTATTAAAAATTATTTGGTTAAGCAAAGAATATTCTATATTAACCAGATAGAGGGTTAAAAGAAGAAATTAAAAAATCAGAAGCTGGTAATGATGAAGACCAACAAAATGAAATCCATTTTGAGCCAATTGTATCTTTGTTCGAAGTGACTGTCTCTACAACGAGGAACTGAGAAGATAAAGTTACTAAGGCATTGTGAAAAAATTTCTGTATGTGTAGTTATAAAACATTAAAGATATGTGCAAACCATTTCATAACTCCAAAAATACAGCTGAATTCTCATTGTAATTCAAAAAAGGATTTCAATTGGACATGTTTTCCCGACTTTGCTGATGAGAAGCCACAATCTGAATTATTTGCTATTAGATTTGAAAATATTGAGAATGCCAGAGTCTGGAAAAGTAAATTTAAGGAAGCAAAGCATATAGTCAAAACTAAAGGATGAATCCGACTCTGATAGTGATTCGACAGATGGCAAAAATTCATTGGAAGGTGAATTGAACCCAACCAAATCCCTTGAAGATGATATTATAATTCTGCTGCGATGATTATTAAATCAGTGGAAGAATTAACAATTAAAAAAGATTGACTGTTGCAAAAAAAAAAATAAAATACTGGCAAATAAAAGGTTGTCAAATATCTCCCTTCCGCTTTTTTGCTCTTGGTTTATAATACAAAAAGGCGGAAGGGAGATATTTGACAACCTTATATTTTTATTTGGCATGAATTACCATTTTTGTTGAGAAAAAAAATTATCCTAAAGAAATTGTCTTTTTTTTCTTGGCAAATGAATCCAATATATTAATTTAATTTGAAGATTTCGTTGGCAAATTCTTTGTGGAAATGTTTAAACACTTTAGCAGTTTTTTTTCATATAACTTTTTATCTAATTAAATTAGAATATTCTTTCTTTTAACCGAATAAATCTGAATAAAATTTGTAATAAAACTGTATAATTAGACATGTAAAATCTATTTTTTTTAAAAGATTTTTAACGAGTTCTTCATTGAAATCTTTGGATATTCTATCAATTTTATTCTTATTACTTTTTATCTGGTCAAAATATAAATATTTTTTTCTTTACTGAAAAAATCCAAATAAAATTTGTAATAAAACTGTAAAATGAGTATTTATATATAATTTTGCACATAGAATCTTTTTTTTAAAAGATTTTGAACGAGTATTTTGTCAAAATGTTTAAACACTTTAGCAGTTTTTTTTCATATAACTTTTTATCTGGTAAAAATATTAATATTTTTTCTTAACCGAATAAATCTAAATAAAACTGTAAAATTTGTGAGTATATATATATATATATATATATATATATATATATATATATATATATATATTTTAACATGAAATTTTTTCTTTAAAGATTTTGAACAAGTTTTCCGTTGAATTGTTTAAACATTTTTGCAGTTTTATTCTTATTATTTTTATCTAGTTAAAATAATATTTATATTATTTGTTTAACCAAATTTTTCTAAATAAAACTGTTTAATGTTATAAAATGTTCAATAATAATTTAATTCATTTAGCAAATTCTTTGCTGATTCGTCAAAACATTTTTGCACTTTTAATAATATCAAACTATTTGTTCGATTAAATTAGAAATTTATTCTTTCTTTTAACCAAATAAATCTTAATAAAACCGTATCATTAATATTTATATAGAAGAGTCTTATTAAGAAACAAAAGATTCCTAACAAGTTCTTTGTTAAACAGTTTAAACACTTTTGCAGTTTTATTTGCTAAACTTTTAATTTGATTAAAATATTAATATTCTTTGTTTAACCAAATAAATATAAATAAAACTTATAATAAAGCCACAAAATTAGAATTTTTTTAGAATTTTGCAATAATTTTGTAAGAATTTTGCATGAATTAATTTTCTTGCAGTTTTTCTCATACAAATTTTTCAGAATAAATCAAACATTCTTTTTTTAATCAAATAAATCTAAATAAAATTTGTAAAACTTGATAATAGTATTTTTGTAGAATATTTCATATAGAATTTTCTTTTTTGCAAATATTCGATTAAACATTCTTTCAGTTTTAATCATTAGAATTTTTATGTTGCAAAATAATTCTAAAAATTCTTAAACAAATATTCAAACGTCACGTGTAATATTAGAATAGTTTTATAGTCAAAACTTTTTTGAAAACTGTTCCAAAATATTTGTTTTAAGCATTAAAATCTATATCTAGTCTGTATAATTAGAATTTTTATAAAATGATACATAAAAATGCTTAAACAAATATAAAAATATCACATTATAAAACAATTTATCTATTTTTACTTATTTTTTTTAAATTATCAATAGAATAATTTAGTTGTAGTAAATAATCGTAGTCAAAAATATTTGTTTTAATATAATTTCATAAAAGTAATAATTATAATGCAACGCACAAAAATTCTACAAAAAATAATAATTTTATTTACTTTCATTCATAATATTTTTTAAGCAGAAATTTTTAAACGAGTCAAATAATAATTTATCTTGTCAATTTCTTATAGCAAAAATATAAATTTTTGTTTTCGTCAAATAAATTAATTTATCAAAAAAAATCCGGGTCATTTAATCATTAGTCATTTAATTCCCAAGACTTAACTAGTACGCAAGCTTTTCCAAAAAAAATATATACAGCTTATAGAAAAATAATTACCATAAATAATATTTCTGTCCAATATGAATTATATAATATCATTCGATCTAAATCATGCATGAGTTTGTGTGAAACGTAATGATTATTAAATGTACATGCAATTGTATGTGTGTATGTCAGTGAGTGATAATATATCTACAGAAACCTTTTTGAATTAATTAATAGTGATTTGTTGTTTATGCTCTCGAACTTGCAAGTTCTCGCCTCAGCTCCCTGACTCGTTCCAAAAGTCTTTTTTGTTCCCTCTTTTGAAATTTCATCTCCTCCTCTCGTGCTCTCAGTTCTCGACAAAGGGCTCCCGCTTCTCTTAAAATTGACACCTGGATAGAAATAGATACATTAATAATAATAATATATAATATATATATATATATATATATATACATAAATATATACATTACTATTATATCAATGAAATTATTTATTATTGTCTAGAAATGTGAATTTTCTATAAATGTTGTAAGTTTTTTAAAAATGTAGCAAGTTTTTTAAAAATGTAGCAAGTTTTTTAAAAATCTAGCAAGTTTTTTTTAAAAATGTAGCAAGTTTTTTTTAAAAATGTAGCAAGTTTTTTAAAAATGTAGCAAGTTTTTTAAAAATGTAGCAGGTTTTTAAAAAATGTAGCAGGTTTTTAAAAAATGTTGCAAGTTTTTTAAAAATGTTGCAAGTTTTTTAAAAATGTTGCAAGTTTTTTAAAAATGTTGCAAGTTTTTAAAAATGTTGCAAGTTTTTTTTAAAATGTTGCAAATTTTTAAAAATGTTGCAAGTTTTTTAAAATGTAGCAAGTTGTTAAAAATATAGCAAGTTTTTTAAAAGTGTTGTAAAAGTTTCAAAAACGTTGTAAATGATTTAAAAACGTTGTAAATGTTTTAAAAACGTTTTAAATGGTTTAAAAATGTTTTAAATGTTGTAAATTTTCTAAGAATGATGTAAATGTTCTAAAACTGTCGTGAATCTTATAAATATGTGATTTTAATAAAAATGTATAATTTTCATCAATTTTCTAAAAATGTACATTTTCAAAAATTGTAAAACTTCTGTAAATTTTTTAAAAATGTTGTAAATTTTCTAAGAATGCTGTAAATATTTCAAAAATATTGCAGTTAGTCTGAAAATGTTGTAACTAATACAAATATGTTTTTAATTGGTCTTAAAAAAATGTTTTAATTTATTTTCAAATGTTATAAAAGATCTAAAATAGTGATCACGAGTCTAAAAATGTTTTAAATTATCAAATAAAGTTCAAAATGAACTAAAAATGTTTTAAATTATCAAATAATATTCAAAATGAACTCAAAATGTTTTAAATTTTCTAGAAATGTAGTAAATTGTCTGAAAATGTAAAATTTTTAAAAATGTTATTGATTTATTAAAAACATAAATTTTCTAAGAATGTTGTAAATATTCTAAGAATGTTGTAAATTATCTATAAATGTTTTAAAATGACTAAAAATGTTTTAAATTGTCTAAATTAAAATGTTTAAAATTACCCAAATTGTTGTAACTGTTCATAGAATGTTGTAAATTGCTTAAAAAAGTTGTAAATAGTCAAAAAATGTTTTAAATTTCCTAAAAATATTGTAACAGGTCTAAAAATATTGTAACTGTTTTTAAAATGTTGCAAATATTCCTAAAATGTTGTAAATTGTCTTAAAAATAGTTTAAATTATCTTAAAATGTTGTAACAAGTCTAAAAATGTTTTAAATCGTCTAAAAATATTGTAAATCGTCTAAAAATGTCGAAGATAGTTTAAACATGTTGAAAATTGTAATAATGTTGTCATAAAATCTTCTAAAACTATTGTAAAACGTTGTAAATCGTTTAAAAATGCTGTAACAGGACTAAAAATGTTTTAAATTATCTAAAAATGTTTTAAAATATCTAAAAATATTTTAAATTATCTAAAAATATTGGAAAAAGTCTAAAAATGTTATTAATTGTCTAAAATGTTGCAAAACTCTAAAAATGCTATAAATCATCTAAAAATGTTGCAACTGGTTTAAAATTGTTATAAATTATCAATGGCAAGCAACAATATCAATAAAGTTAAAAAGAAAAAAAAATTCACTAAAAAAAAATTTCAACCACATTAAATTTTAAACTCCACATTAAGAAGTTTCACTTCTTTTGCACTATATATATATAATTTACTTTTAATTAATATATTAATAAAAATAACTGAATTAGTACCATTCCAAAAGCATTAACAAATCTTATTATATTATTAATGAATATATAAAATTCTATTAACCTTTGGAGCCTTTTCTCGAGAGCTCAGTTGTGGAACTGCCTGTCGTAGTTCCTCGAACAAAACTCTGAGGCCAACTCTTCGCCTCCTTTCCATATCATTGTGGGCTGAACGAGAGGAACGCTCCACACCTTATTAAGAAATATTATCTTAATATATATCGAATAAATAAATAAAAACTGATAAACTGATACAAAATATTATATTATTTTCAATACAAAGATGACTAATTAGGTTTGAGTACAAAATAAATATTAATTCTATTACTACTTTTGTAGAACTATATGTCTATTATATAATCCTACCATTATGGTTGTTCCAGACGTTGTCATCATCGCTTCTTCGTTTCCTTCCTCGTTTCTTCATGGGTTTGAGTTGACTCGAAGAACTGCTCTCGTTTGCTGATGTTGAGAACTCCTGAGATTGCGAATAGTCCATGTCGAATTCATCATCAGAACTTGCACTCTTGTCCCTTTTCCTCTTTCGATTTGTTTTTGGATTCGATTTTGTCTTTGATGATGGAACCTCATCTGGGGGAAAAGAAATATAATAGTTAAACTAGTTGGTTTGGTATTTTGCCTTGAGGCAAGTTACATGAACTTCCCGATATGTGTAAATAATCGACTTAATCAATAAAAAATAAATTAACTTATGATCCATTAAAAGTATTCCGAGTAGATTTATTACACCTAATTGAAAACGAACAAACACGTTAACGCGGAGTATTTTCTAAAAGCAAAATTTCAAAGATTAATAATTTTTATAATTGAACCAGTTTCCTTAGGACTTTAATGGTTTATTATTCATTAAGACCAAGTAATGTCGTTATACCGAGTAATTAGTAACTCTTGTTTTAACGTTAATTCGTCTAATTTTAATTTAAAAACGTCAAAAAAACTACTCATTTTCTTAAAATTTGGTGATTTTTTTAAAAATAAACTACTTGTCGTAAGGCTGTAATATTACAGTAAGTTCTATAAGACCATGATATATATCGCAAAAAAAAGTTCCATGAAAATCGGCTTAAATTTTTTTTCAACAGTTCATTACAAGAAAACAGCTCGGTAGATTTTTACCTAAAACTAATCAGTATCATTCCCAACTAATATCTTTCGAACAGTTTTTGATTTGTTAAAATCGGTTCGGTAGTTTGAGCTTAAATGTGGACGAAAAGTTTAACACTTTTTTTCAAATTGCAAAGAAACGGCTTGGCAGATCGTTGCACAAAACTGACAAACAATAGTCCTCACCGAAATACATCAAATGGCTTTTAAATTTCTGAAATCGGTTCAGGCGTTTTTGAGAAAACGTCGATCAAAAGTCTAATTTTGACAAATGCCAAAAAAATGATATCAATTTTTGCAAACTTTGACGAATTTTAAAGCTGAACCAGTTGTCGTAGGGCCGAAATATTTTAGTATGATCTAGAAGACTATGTTATCTACCGTCAAAAAAAATAATAAAATCGTCGAAATTTTTTTTTAAACTTTATTACAAGAAAACGGCCCGGCCGATCTCTACCAAAAACTAATCAGCACGTCCCAACCAATATCTTTCGAACGGTTTATGAAATTTCAAAATCGATTCAGAATTGCGGGCTAAAACGTAGACGAAAATTTTTTCACTTTTCTGCGATTTATAAAGAAACGGCTTGGCCGATCGTAGCACAAAATTGACAAACAATAGTCCTCATCGAGATACATCGAGAGGCTTTTAAATTTTTGAAATCGGTCCTGCCATTTTTGAGAAAACGTCGATTTACGGCAAAAAATCTGTTCACATACACGCACACACACACACACACATACTTTTTCCAAATTCGGTCTCATTCGATTCAGAATGGCTTGAAATGTCGAGAAAACATAAAATTAGCGAATCGGATTTTTTGATGAAAACATAAACTTCTCCTTCGGGAAGTTAATAAAACAATATTAGGTTGTCAAATATCTCCCTTCCGCCTTTTTGTATTATAAACCAATAGCAAAAAAGCGGAAGGGAGATATTTGACAACCTAATATACAGTTACATAAAATAGGGACAATTAATTTTACTCACAATCATCATCAGAATCGTCCCTGCTGGAATTGTTATAAGACGGTCTAGACCTCGGTACAAGTGTTTTAAGACCACCAGGTTGTTTCACGATTTGGGATTCAGGAATGACATTGATCTTCTTATAATCAAATCTGCAAGGCAAAACAAAACATCATAAATCATCTATTTATTTATCACATCTCATGATTCATTTAAATCCTGTCCATTTATTACCATTGTTTATTCTGCTGCTGCTCTCGGAGATCTTCCTGGTGACTTCCAGTTGTAGTTGTCTTCTGTCCTGCTTCGATGGACATGTTGGCAGATTTGCTTTACCATTGTTGAAGGAACTGATGTTGGAATTGTAGTAACCAGAATCTGGTTGGTTGTGAGATACTCCTAAGGATACTACGTCGATTTCTTCCTCTTCTGGAAAAATAAAGAATACACTGAGTTCTTGGACTCAAATTTCTTTGCACAATTGAAATTTTGAAAAATCTACTATGAGAAGATTTAGATAATTTTATCTAGTTTTGATATAACCAAAACCAATTGCAAAAAATCCACTTGAAAAAATGTTGCATTGAAAATAATGAAAAATGCCTTTGGTGTTAATAAAGCACCAGGATTGTAAGTAAAAGTTCTCAAGCTCATATTTCTTTTCCAAAGTTAAATTTTTAAAAATCCCTTTTAATAAAATATTTAAACAATTTTATCTATTTTTGAAATATCTAGAACCATTTGCTAAGAATCTACTCAAAAAAAAGTTAGTTTAAATATTGGTTTAAAAAGTTTGAAAAAATGTCCTTGGTGCAAATAAACAATTTGGCTGTAAGTGAAATTCTCGGAGTTATAATTTTTTTTTTTTCAAAATATTGAAAAATCGGTTTAAATAAAAAAAAATAGATACTTTTATCTATTTCCGAAATACCTAAAATCAATAGCAAAAATCTACGAAGAAAAAAGTTGCTTCAAAAATTTGAAAAAAAATTCTTGGTGCAAATAAAGCACCTGGACTGTAGATAAAGTTTGCGAGTTTGTATTTCTTTTCCAGAATAAAATTTTGAAAAATCGACTACTGCACGTTTTAGATAATTTTGTCTATTTTGGAAATATCTAAAACCAATTGCAAAAAATCTGCTAAGAAAGTTGCTTCAAAAAATATGAAAAATGTCCTTGGAACAAATAAAGCAACTTGGCTGTAGATAAAAGTTTCCAGGCTTATATTTATTTTCCTAATTAAAATTTTCAAAAATCAACTATGACAAGATTTAGATACATTTATCTATATTTGAAATATCTAAGACCAAGTTCAAAAAATCTGCTAAAGAAAAAGTTGGTTTAAAGAAAATGAATTGTCCTGGATACTAATATACCAACTTGTGTAAGCAAAAGTTTTCAGTGCTATAATATCTTTATTTGCAAAAATTTTGGAAAATTGCTTTAAATAAAAAATTTAGATAATTTTATCTACGAACAAAAAAGTTGCTTCAAAAATGTATTTAGTGCAAATAAAGCAACTTGACTGTAGATAAAAATTCCCAGGCTTACTATTCTTTTCCAACATGATATTTCAAAAAATCGACTATGACACATTTTAGATAATTTTATCTAATTTTGATATATTTAAAACCAATTGCATAAAAATTGCTAAAAAAAAAGTTGCACTAAAAAGTAAACAAATGTTTTTAGTGCAAATAAAGCAAAATGACTGTAGATAAAAGTTCCCATGGTTATATTTTTTTCCTAAGTAAAATTTTGAAAAATTGACTACCATAAATTAGATAATTGTATCTACTTTCCAAATATCCAAAACCAATTGCAGAAAATATGCTAAGAAAAAAGTTGGTTTAAAAAAAATGAAAAAATGTCCTTGATACTAATAAAGCACCTGGACTGTGAGTGAAAGTTCTCTGGCTCATATTTCTTTTCCAAAAAAATTTCTAAAAATCAACTATACCAAGATTTAGATACATTTATTTGTATTTGAAATATCTAAGACCAAGTTCAATAAATCTGCTAAAGAAAAAGTTGGTTTAAAGATAATGAAACATTGTCCAGGATACTAATATGGCAACTTGTGTAAGCAAAAGTTTTCAGTGCTATATCTTAATTTGCAAAAATTTTGAAAAATCGCTTTAAACAAAAAAATTAGACAATTTTATCTACTTTTCAAATATCAATTGCAGAAAATATGCTAAGAAAAAAGTTGGTTAAAAAATACACTTGGTGCAAATAAAGCAACTTGATTGTAAGTGAAAGTTTTCGGGCTTATATTTCTTTTCCAAAATGATATTTTGAAAAATTGACTATGACAAAATTTAAATTAATTGTATTTAGTTTTGAAATACCTGCGACCAATTAAAAAAAATCTGCTAAAGAAAAAGTTGGTTTAAAGAAAATGAAAAAATACACTTCGTGCAAATAAAGCAACTTGATTGTAAGTAAAAGTTTTCGGGCTTATATTTCTTTTCCGGAATAAATTTTTGAAAAATTGAATATGACAAGATTTAAAGAATTGCATCTAGTTTTTTAAATATCTAAAACCAATTTCAAAAAATCTGCTAAAGAAAAAGTTGGTATAAGAAAATGAAAAATTGTCCTGGATATTAATATAGCAACTTGAAAAGGTTTCAGTGCTATAATATCTTAATTTGCAAAAAATTTGGAAAATTGCTTTAAACAAAAAAAATTAGACAATTTTATCTACTTTTCAAATATCCAAAACCAATTGCAGAAAATATGCTAAGAAAAAAGTTGGTTAAAAAATATACTTGGTGCAAATAAAGCAACTTGATTGTAAGTGTAAGTAATTGTAAGTAAGTTTTCGGGCTTATATTTCTTTTCCAGAATAAATTCTTGGAAAAATGAATATGAAAAGATTTAAAAAATTGTATCTAGTTTTTAAATATCTAAGACCAATTTCAAAAAATTTGCCAAAGAAAAAGTTGGTTTAAAGAAAATGAAAAAATGCCCTTGGTGCAAATAAAGCAACTTGACTGTAAGTGAAAGTT